AGTCTTTGTCTGCTTGGGCACGCAACACGTCAGTAGCATATATTCAAGACAGATGAAGAGCTTAGGAAGTATAGAAACATAAACTCAGATGTGTCAGCTAGTATGCATAAAAACAGCTGCTTAAAAATAATGTTTAGGGTTTGTCTTTATGCAATGACAGGAAAGGAATTCAGTGTCAAAGTTGCTTGAGCATGTAGCCACATGTGTTATTTTACTCCAAAGTACACTTTACTCTGATTCTTAATTCTTATGATGCCTTCTTGAACTACAAAATCATCCATACAGATCTCTCCACACTACCTACCAATAACAAATGGATTTGCTGAGCTAATGACCCTGCCATTTGGGCTGGCCTGCATATAACATCCAAAAAACCCTCAGGACAAATCCAACAGGCAAACTGAAACCCTAGCATGCAAAAAACTTGTGTTATTTTTAATATTACCCACTCCTTCCAGGCACAAAGTACTGATGACTTTATCTGAAATGGTATGAGTCTGTCAAATACAACCCTCAATAACCATCACACCAATCTGTGCAATCCAGGGGATGAGATATAGGCAGTTGCCACTGCCTAGACTACAAGCTCTTTGGGGATGCATCTTCTGCCGGGGCTTGTGAGAGACTGAACATACTGTCGGCAGTTAAATAATATATCTGTATCATCACCATATAAAAAATACAGCCAAAAATCTGTTCACATGGTGATTGTTGCTTTAATTGTCACTTGGATGCTCCTAACCACTTTCTCTCCAGCTGAGAATAAAGCTTAACCTTCTTTATAGCTCTGTGCCTCTGTTTCCCTCTCTTACTTTGAGTATGCACCTACTTGGACTGCACACACATCAGAAGAGAGACTGGATCTGATGTTTGGTGCTTCCAAGAGAGGGAGTCTCTCAGGTGGAATCTTGTTAAATCCATTAATAAAACAGCGGCAAAATGCAGTTGGGGGAGAGTGACTTTTTGGAATCTAAAGAGGACCTTTGAAGGTTCGCTACATTGCAGCTATGAGAAAAAAATGCGAACCAACAGAAAGTAGACTGCGGGACAACTCCTTCTGCGTGCATACAAAATGGACCCATTGGGATGGAACCTGGCCTCAGCTGGATTGTTAAACTGTTAGCTAAAATAAATAAATAAATAAATAAAACATATACATTTATTGTAGCTCATGTCAAGATTGTAAGTTACAGGTGTTCTGATCTTTCTACTTTCACAAGTTGGTTCAATATTTAGCATATGCTGGTGGCATTTTTTCCTAAGTCAATGGACTAAAAATCAACTCTTTTCTATGGAACATCACAGGCTGAAATGGAGGAGCTTGCTGCAGTATTCCAGGCTAGACAGCTACTTTTGTCTCTTTCCCTGTTTCTTGTTTAAAGAAACAGCAAAAAGAAAAGAAGAGGGGAAAAAGAACCACATGAAAGAAAAAAAGTAGATAAATGGAAAAGGAAATCTTAATAAGGTTCTTTTTTTCTTTTACTATTTTTTTGGAGACTGCTGTATCAAATTAAAGTCATACATAGGTTTCAAAGAAAATCGTATGTCGGTGGAATGGTGAGCCCACCTGACAACGCATGCTAACAGAATTGTAAATGTAAAGGGTAATGCTTGTCACTTCCTGACAGCTCTAAATGGCCTTTTAGTTCAGTACGCAGAGCTGTCATAAAAAAACATAAAAATGCATATGCAGACAGCTGAAACTGCAATGCACATCATTATCTGCAAATGGTATAAGTATCCTGAACAAAGGGCCTTCCAGTTTAAGGACAAGCATAAGACATTTTTCTGCCTCTAGCCTTAAAACAAAGTGCTGTCAAGAAAACAAGATTCTCAGTGCCAGAACTGAGGATTTTCTGTCAATCAGCAAGGTGCTACATTTGTACATATTTTTCTGACCCCAAATATGAGAAGAGCATCCTTAACAGATGTGTATTTAACTTCTGGCAGATACATCTGTTTCTTCTGGGGTTTTTATTTTTTATACCTTTTTTTTTTTAAGCCCCCTCAAACACACTGCAGAGCAGAACAGTTTTGTTGTGTACTTATTAGTTCCTTCTATCCTAGCTTTTTCTCCTTGTTTAAAGTACCCTCACAGTGGCTTCACCATTATTGTGCCAACATGTTGGGGAACTTTAGGGACTAGTGTTGAGCCTATAAGGGAGCCATGCCAAAAAGGTGAACTCCAGTCTGGTGATGCTCGGAACTACTGTGCTAGTCTGCTTGATTGTGGCTTAAACATTTTCTTTTCCAGTGAATTATTAAAACACACATAAAAGTAATTAGGGCTCAGCAAAGGTATTAGCATATGCAAACAGCTCTAAGAATAAACCTGCCCCCTACAAAGTGCTAGTGACCACAAGAACCATGGTGTACAGTCTATATACAGTGGCCACTCACTGACTACTTCACTCTGATTTAGGCTGTCACCAGCACTCCTATACTATCATATGCACTACCATACTCAACGACACCTCTCCAGATGGAGACTGGGGTACCATAGGCTAAGAAAAAGAACCTAGGGTTCATGGTAAACCCTCTACCCTGAGGGCAAACTGGCATAAGCAAGCTTCTACCCCAAGCATTAGAGTTCACCACATGAATGCATAAAGGAACAGTAAGACAGCAGTTGGTTATCTTTTCTTTTTTAATTCCCAAACCTATAATCCAATTCTCATCTACACTGACCCCACTCAAGTATCCACTGCACTGCACAGACCCACAACTTCAACCTTCAATAGCAGCCAAACCCATTCCTTCTTAGCAAATAACCTGCACAAATATCCATTCACCAATGCAAAAAAAAGATCAGGGGTGAAACATGAATAAGCAGCAAGTACTTGAAAAACAAACCCCAATTTTGTTAGCTGATAGACATCTAAAAGGTGTCTCTCTAAACTCTCACCTTGGTCCCAGTTACAGATACCTCCACGCTGATGAAATTGCATAAAACCCCTTTTTCTACAGATTGGTCTCTCCTTCAGATCTTCAGTGTTTACTTGCATTGCTTTTCATGCTACTCCCCCAGCCCTGGGTTCAGGCAGCACTTTAGGATCTCTGTATGCAGCAAACAATAACTATTCTGGCCTTGAACACAACTTACAATAGAGAACCTGATGTGCATAACAGATCTCTGATGTATTTTCTCACTATCTTGAATTATCTACCAAATGTTTCATTGCAATCCTCTCTGCTTGCAGCATAAAGTATGGGAATATGAATCAAAGATATTTTGGATTTCAAAACTTTTGAGATCATGGAGGCAAAATATCTCAGTCCACAAGAAAAGTAAGGGAATAAATGTCACACATAAAAATTCCCTATTCATCTCATGGTTTATATTTACAAAGTGCTGTGTTTGAATCTGTAAATTTTCCAGTGTGAAATTACCCTGAACAGTTGCTTAATGGCATCTTAATTTTCCTTTAATTAATCACCTTTAGAATTTCTAGCTGTTTCTCCATTAAAATTCACATTTATCACATGTATAATCTTCATTCCTTTCTTCCAAAATTGCCCAAAGAAGCCATCAAACAATAAGGCTGAAACCCTAAAAATTCATTCCTTTTGTATCTGCAGTAAGCCGATATGGGGATACACAGTCATCTTGGAAAAATACAGGTTTTGTTTGAGATTTTAAGAGACCTCTAGTAATTCTGGCTGCCTCTCCCTTCTTGGTGCTGTTTGAGACATCTGAGGACATCTAAATCTGAAGTTTTGTTCCTGTCTCAATAACTGATTCTAATCCAAGCTCAAGAAAAGTAACATCTTAATGCTCACTCAACAGTCTTGCTTCCGAAGCTGCCTCTACAGACACATAAATAACTGAAAACTGCTCTGCAGTACATCCTCCCCAGAGCCAAAGCTTGCACATGCGCTTACCAAAAAAAAAGGAGCCTTGCAGACTATGTGTAAAAGCCCCATCTGGTGATGCCTGACATAACAGTATGTTTCCACCTAATTACAGTACACTTAAAAAATACACTGTGCATTACTGACACAAAACCAAGTGAATATATGTCTGTCTGCTAATAAATTATGCTGGACAGAAGAGAAAGGTTTTCAACCCCATTAGAGTGAGTTGATGAACCAGACTTCCTACAGGACTAGGAGGAGAAATGAACAGCCAAAGTAGTTAAAGGATGGACGTTGGTACATTTGTGAGAGATGCACAACATGTCAGTCTGAAGACCAAAGTGATCTACACCACTACAAAACAAGCAGAGACTAGGCAAAAGTCTCATTGATTTCCTTGCATGTCTGGCCTTAATGACACATGTCCTGACATAACTGATGCTTCATACAACAATTCTTTTTTGAGCATGGCTTTTGTATTGCCATGTTTCAAAAGTGTTGCTGTCAAATGCAGCAGTGAAGTCCTGGACTAATACTAACAGCTGAGCTACACCAGCCAAAATATAACAGTATTTTAACCACAGTGATATAGAGCAGGATTTGAACACGCATCTTCCAGACAAAAGCCCTATATCCCATAACCATGACCTGTGCCAGCCAGGCCTCCCTCTCAATCTGTTCCCTTTAAATTTACAAGGAAGGAAATAACAAGAAAGAAGGACATACTTTTATTACATTTTTTCAAATAAAATGTCTGTGCTTTCTCTGGATGGTTCCAGCCCGATTTATACAAGGTGAATTTGACCTTCAAGAGGCAGAACATCTGGGAATGACAATTAAAGCCATCTGCACCCAAGGCAAGCAGGTTGCTCGCTATCCACTCTGTTCTGTCGCCTTCAGAACACAGAGGAGGGGGGGTAATCTCAAGACAGCCATCCCTTTTTTATTGACTGTCTCCTGTGCTTTTAGAGATGTGAAAATACACAGAGCCTGGCTGCACTCCCTCCCAGGGAGGCTCACCAAGGATGGCATGAATACTCCAGCAGTGCACTTGAGTATTTGTGATTCAGGTCCTATGGGGATAATGTTACCCAGACCCAGGTTTTCTTTCAGATTTAAGCTAGCCTCTATACATCTCACCTGTCATGACGTGGCCTGTCTGAATTTAAGCATCTCCTTTATGTGGCTGAGTGGCTTGTGCATTTTTTTTACTGGCCATCAGAGTCCAACAGGAGTCAAAGGAAAGGTCATCAAACCCTCTGATCCTGGAGGTATTGCTTTAAGATTGAGCTCTATTTAGGAAGAATTAAGATGTTGAAGCTAGTTTGAAACACTGGTAAAAATCCAAACCATCATTCTTTGAAGGATTTCAGTGCAACTGAATGTTCCCTAGAGCTTGTAAATCTTCAGATGTTTGCTGCAATAGGGTAACTTATAAACCCCTAAAACTCAGTTTCGATTTTGTTGTTGTTGTTTAACTCAAATATTCTTAAGGTCCATCATGCTGGTTACCACTATTCCATTCTTTTAACTTTTACTCTTCTGCTTGCCTGTACAATCTGATTTCTCATTTCATACTTCGCTGGTGAGCTCTTTAGGACAGGATGGTTTAGCTAGCAGAGTGGAATTTTGGTATCTGGCCTGAGATGCTAAAGCAATGCACGTGACAGAGTACTTAAGGCACTGTGTCATGTAGATATTTGCACAGAAGGATCGTATTCACTTTTGGACACGCAGTATAGTGTTAATGACTCATTTGGATAGCCAGACCCAGTTGGAATTTCAAAAGCAAAGGAAAAATACAAAGCCAAAGGATGGGGAAAAAACCCAACTAACCCAGAACTGGAAACTTTTCTGTGGTATTTGGAGTATTATTATTTTCATTTTCTCTTTGTATCATTTTTTTCAGCCTACTTAAGAGCTCCCTGTGTGCCACCTATCGGCCCAAGCCATGCTCAGTTCTTCTTCAGACAAAAAACAGTGGTGGAAGAGTTGTGCAGGGCCAGAAAACAGGAGGTGGGAGGCCAGAGATCGGGTACAGCACAGCTGGCCAGAAAACAGGGAAAGGAAGTGTATTTTTCTAGGGATATGGAGCCAACTACAGCCCAAAAGGCAGTCACACCCCCTGTTTCAAACTACGGGTGTGACTCAGATAAACCAGCAACATGAAATTACACCAGCAGAAAGATATTTCAGAAAATATTCCACACCATGGATGACATATTCAATTATTGTGCCTTTGGAGGTTTAACCCTGCCTTCTTTGAGTGAGAAACCAGACACTTGGAGAATTAACCGAGATATATTGACAGGTCTAGGTTCCACAACAATTCCCCTTGTATATGCCCCATAAACACGTTTTTTTCCAGTGTCAGTCATACATTCATTTTCTACCACAATAATTCTTTGCTAAGATCCCATTCCCATAATGGGAAGAGGAAAAAAAAATGAGTGACACCTCAAACAATATTTGATAGTCTAACAACAATTTTTAACTTCAAAGACTATCTACATAAAAGTTGAAGACTTTTGCTACAAACCCAAGCCACTGGGAAATCATTTTCCATCTGACATCAATTCCCCAGCTACCAGAATGAAGGCTTTAACTAAAAGTGTAACTTTTACTAGAGGTTCTTTAACATTCTAATCTATGCTGTGTGAAAGTATGCGCATAGCCAGGTTATATTGTGTCAGCATTCAAAAATGGGGTGCAAAAGAGACTCCCACAAATCAAGGAGAGGGATGGCCTTCATGGCCAGCTGGTAAGCACTCATTTACATGACTGAGTTACAGTGGTTGAACAGATAGGAGATAGGAATATTTGACTGATTAAACCCAGATATTTATGAATATAAAGAAACAAGAGGTACAAGCACGAACATTCCCAACCCCCAAAATTATTGTCCTAAAGGAAGGGAATAAATTTTTCAGAGCTGAATCATTACATCAAATCACTCCTAATGTACTGAACCACTGGAGGAATCAATGGATGCAGGTCTACAAATCATGTATTCAAGACTTGATGCTGGCAAGCAAAGATCTGTAAGGTTTGATGATGGGCCATTTTCCCTTCCCAGAAACACTGGCTAAACCCCACAAAGTCTTCTGCAACAGTCCTGTTTTTTAAACCCTGCTTTCATTTCTAGCTGAAGAGGAGACTGCATGTCTAAGACATCAAGCTGTGACCTTGCGCTGTATTAAATGGGTGAGCATGTTAAAAGGCTTGTAAACGTACCTGGACCTTTTTTTCTCACCATCTGTTTCATACTTGATATCTTGATAGATAGTTCAGCTTATTACCCACCACTAACGTCATCTCTTTGCTGAAGCCTTGTTATTTGAAATATGGGGTCTCTCCTTTGTATAGCTGTGACTAAGTACATTGGAACTAACTTAAATTTGTTTTAAATACATTAAATTGGTAACATGCAGTGTAACTGCATACCAGTTCTAAGTTACATAGTAAAAGCTTAAATGATTAAACCAATTTAATGTATGAACCAGGCACTCTATATGGCAGAGAACAGGTTTTCCAGTGAAATGTTCGCCTGGTAGTTAGCATTGTGCAGAGGTATGCAGATGCTTTTGCCAGGAGAAAGTGAAATAATTGATGCAGCTGAAAATGACCTTGATCTTAAAGTCATTACCTCATTCCTTGAAATATCTGAAAATACAATGACAGAAGCAAGGGCCTGAGTGACTACTGTGACTTTTAGTTTGTCCTGAGTATCAGTGTAACATGGGTACATGGCAGCAATAAATCATTTTCCTGGAACACACGACTGTAAAAAGTGGGGGTCATGTTTCCAAGCTGGCTTTTCTTTTTTCTTTTTTTCGTGTCTGTTGGTTCCGTGTCTCTGCAGACTTTGCATGACGTCCTCCTGTCTGCCTACATCTATTTTATAGATTAATGGTACCTGTAACTACTCAGCCGAAAGGTAAAATAATAGCAAGGGTGATGAAACCACATGCTCCATGACATAGGAGGTTGACTCATGGGGTCAGGAATGAGTTCCTGCCTTTCACTACTGGCAGAGTCTTGTATTGCTACCAAAGCACTATGCATGGCAAAGCAGTGGCAACACACACCTGAAGAAGCACAGAAGTCCGAAAGGTCCACTGTGTTTGTCTGCTTCTCAGGGAGAAGGGTAGATTTCCCCAGGCTACCATGGGACTGGTTATACCACACCAGAGCAGGTCTCTGGGGCTCTTCATGCCAAACTGATCCAGAGCCCAGCAAAGACAAAGAAAACCTTTCTGATTACCAGATTTTGATCTGGGTTGGCAAGGTCACTTGTACCTGTTGGAGATGCATGAAAGGAGGGGCTGGCAGGACTAGACTGTCTCCTACAGCTCTCAACAGGAGTAAGGCCACCCTTTCTAAGGGGACAAGTAAGTTTTTGCAGCGTCTGGCCTTGCCTGGGATACCAAGAATGGCAGCTTTTGCTTTATTGGTGTTACAAAACAACAGTTTCCCACCCAAAATGTGGGGTCATGGTCATGCCAACAAACCATATTAGTTAAAAGACTTTCTACCTTTTCTCTTGAATAAGAGCATGCACAGAGGATTTCAGAATACACGAACCCAAAGAAAGGAGGGGAAGCATTTTGAATGTAGCAAACTAAAATTTGTGCAACAAACATAACTGCAACCAAATACCACATACCAACTGTTAAAAGACTTGATTCAGGCAGCAAAATGTCACACAAGCAGTTTTGATGCAGCCAGCTGTCACAGACAAAGCACTCTACATCTAAAGGTGACAGGTTATGGGAGGAGCTCATGGCTCAGGAAGAACTTGAGAATTACACTGATGACTTTACCTTTGAGAGGAGCTTCTACAGAAACAGTGCAAGAACCAGAGCTGAAATTGTGTAATAAACACACATGCTGTGGTCTTAAGGAGTGGAAGCTGGGAAGCTCCAGTGGTATTGGTGGAACTGGTGGAATTTCTTCACCTGCAAGACAGCCCATGGTTCTGGGAAACAATGTGCTCTATTGGCACATTGTAGTTTTCTCTTTTCATCCCTGACCTTTCCATGTCTTCCGTTTCTGTGGTCTATCAGAGCTAGCACTGAGAAGGAAGGTATCTGCAACAGTAGAAATGTAAAGTTTTGAGAGCTGTCATTCTCCACTGATACAGAAAAGTATTTTCCTAAATTTAATCATTAAACACACATCAAGGTGTTAGAAACGTGTGTTACAAAAGGTGGTGTTGGCAGGATACCTATATCCTGTACATTCCATGCAGCCAAACTTGATTTCTCTTAAACCCTGCCTGGATTCATTTTCATTTAATTTTATGTAAACAACATCTCTAACAGTGGCAGCAGGACCTCACCAAATAACCAGAGGTTGTTTCCCAAACCAAACACAGTCCAGATCTTTCAGCTCAAACTGAGGATTGAGGGCAAATCTGGATTTACTCACAGAGTTCAATTTGGAATCCAATTTTATAATCAATTCTTCATTGTTTAAATCAATGCTGCTGATATAATGCATCAGAGAACCTATCCCCTTGACAGAGGATTTCTAAAAGCTGTATTTTATGGCTATGTCATCACCAGGCATTTGTGGATTTAAAACATTTGTGAAATAGGATTTTCTGGTAAAATCTTGTGTGGTCCATTAGGCATACAATACATAGCAGAGCAAATACTTGATTATGCTTGTGCACTTTTCTCTGTTTCTGGTAATATTCCAAATGAATGCAGCTTTGCCACATGGTTATCTGTTCCTAAGATACCTTCTGAAGTGTGTAACTTTACTCTTCTTCCTTGCAGTTGACAAGTTACCTGGAACCACATTAGCTTAGAGCTGCCCCCTGCAGATATTTTGTATTTGCCCATGATACTACTGAGCAAATTTTCCAGGAATTCCATTCAAAAGCCTTAAACATACTGCATATACGTATGCTTTTTCAGCACTGCCGTATGTATATTTTGTTTGCTTGTGTGCTGTATACAAAGCACATGTGGAATTTGTAAGCATAACAAACAGAATCATTAACTGAAAAATTAATCATGCTCATGCAAATTGTGTGAACTTGCACTGTAAGTTTTACTAGAACTCAGCACACTGTCTTCAGTGTTTAATACTCCTCTTGAAATCTCATGAACCCAACATTCAAGTATGAGAATCCAACAGTTCTTAGCTGGCACAAAAACATCATTTTCCAAAAAAATATGAATAAATAAAATGAGGAAGTTCAAAGTACATGCATAAAGTGATATATACACCCTTGCAGAGCATGCTACATTACAAGGCAGAGCTCCTTAGCATATGGCATTGT